ACAATTCTCCAAGACCAGAGGTAATACCAATACCTGGTAAACACCCTCCTTCCCCAACCCTCCTTCCCCAACCCCCCTTCCACAACCCCCCTTCCCAACCCCCCTCCCCTTCCATCATTTGTAATAACATAAACATAAAGACCTTATCCCTGTAGTAGCAATTGTTCATTGTTTTTTTAAAGACCATCTTCATGGCACATCGGACAGAACTGTAAGTGTATAGTAACAGTGTAGTGATACAGCATATATTTATTCGTTATTTTTGTTTCACAGTCCATATTTTATGGGCGCCGAAATCTGACGTTGAACACATTTGTGTAAACACATTTCAGTTTTTTAAGCCTTCGTGAAGCGGAGCCACAGTGATGTCTTCTTTATTAGATTTGTATCTGGTTAGTTTGTTGAAGTTGATTTACTATGTATGTTTATTTATTTGTATAATCAAAACTTGTTCAACCCCTGTGGCTATAATTTGGAAATGCATATATATATATATATTATATATATATATATATATATATATATATATATATATATATATGGTCAGCATTAACTAGAGTATACATATATGTGTGTGTGTGTGTGAATATATAAATATATATATATATATATATATATATTATATATATATATATATATATACATACATACATATATATATACATACACTTGTGTGTGTATTTTATATAAAATGTGTGTGGTGTATATATATATATATATATATATATATATATATATATATATATATATATATATATACATTTATATATACACACACTTGTATGTGTATTTATATATAAAGAGAGAGTGGGGAAGGGGGGGGGGAGGGGTGTGAACCATAGTGGGTTGACAAGTATTGAAAATATAATCAATAAAAGCGACGTACAAGTGTATATTTTCTATGGCCATATATATTTGTTTGAGTGTGAAAAAACATGTCAACGATATAACTACAAGGGCTTACCCCGGAATGCACATGGACATAACGAAAGTCATCCCCCCCCCCCCCCCCCCCCCCAAGAACAAAACAGTGACGGGAACTAGCAGGTAAATTTAAAAAAAAAAAATTTGAGGAGGACATGGGAGTTAGCGGCATGCCACAGTAACAGGCAGGACGACTTGATGTAAGTGGGTTCGGGACAAAGCACAGATGGGAAATTGAGGTCAAAAGAAGAGCGTCCAGAAAGATCGTTCTATTAAAGTTAAGAATCCCTGAAACAAAACGATTTTATATACAAACCATCATCATCACCGTCCTTGAGTTTGTCTGTCAGCGTTGGCTGAAGGCAGCTAGTAGTCAAAGGTGAGATCAGCCCCAATGGAACATATCTTTCAGAAGCAATGTGTCCTATATTCAATGTCAACGGTCATTCTTATCCTTAGTCATAAGCCAGCTCACGCGTTGGACTCAATTTTGCGTACCACTTGCGCTTGTAGTTTGTATATGCAATCTACCTAGGTTACCAAATCGTTTGATTTTCAATTTTCCGGCGAAATTATTGACAAGGGTTGTTTCCTGATACGGTATGGTCTGTCTGGGTCATGTAAGCTCAAGTTGGCATCAGTCATCTCTGCACACACAGCGTTGGCAACAATGTTAGACACAATTTTTTTGTGTGCAAACACAGCTGCCACAATACTGTTAGACACAACTGGTTTCTGTGCACACACAGCTGCAACAATACTGTTAGAAACAACTGTCCTTTGTGCACACACAGCTGCAACAACACTGTTAGACACAAGTCTTTTGTGCACACACAGCTGCCACAATACTGTTGGACAAAACTGGTTTCTCTGCACAAACAGTTGCAGTAATAATGTTAGCCACAACTGGTTTCTGTGCACAAACAGCTGCAGCAATACTGTTAGAAACAACGGTCTTCTGTCCACACACAGCTGCAGCAATACTGTTAGACACAACGGTCTTCTGTCCACACACAGCTGCAGCAATACTGTTAGACACAACGGTCTTCTGTCCACACACAGCTGCAGCAATACTGTTAGACACAACGGTCTTCTGCCCACACACAGCTGCAGCAATACTGTTATACACAACGGTCTTCTGTCCACACACAGCTGCAGCAATACTGTTAGACACAACGGTCTTCTGCCCTCACACAGCTGCAGCAATACTGTTAGACACAACGGTCTTCTGTCCACACACAGCTGCAACAATACTGTTAGACACAACGGTCTTCTGTCCACACACAGCTGCAGCGATACTGTTAGACACAGCAGTCTTCTGCCCTTACAGAGCTGCAGCAATACTGTTAGACACAACGGTCTTCTGCCCTCACACAGCTGCAGCAATACTGTTAGACACAACGGTCTTCTGCCCATACACAGCTGCTGCAATACTGTTAGACACAACGGTCTTCTGTGCACACCAGCTGCTGCAGTACTGTTAGACACAACGGTCTTCTGCCCACACACAGCTGCAGCAATACTGTTAGACACAACGGTCTTCTGTCCACACACAGCTGCAGCAATACTGTTAGACATAACGGTCTTCTGTCCACACACAGCTGCAGCAATATTGTTAGACACAATTTTTTTTTGTGCACACACAGCTGCCACAATACTGTTAGACACAACTGGTTTCTGAGCACACACAGCTGCAACAATACTGTTAGAAACAACTGTCCTTTGTGCACACACAGCTGCAACAACACTGTTAGACACAACGGTCTTCTGTCCACACACAGCTGCAGCAATACTGTTAGACATAACGGTCTTCTGCCCACACACAGCTGCAGCAATACTGTTAGACATAACGGTCTTCTGCCCTCACACAGCTGCAGCAATACTGTTAGACACAACGGTCTTCTGTCCACACACAGCTGCTGCAATACTGTTAGACACAACGGTCTTCTGTCCACACACAGCTGCAGCAATACTGTTAGACACAACGGTCTTCTGTCCACACACAGCTGCAGCAATACTGTTAGACACAACGGTCTTCTGCCCACACACAGCTGCAGCAATACTGTTAGACATAACGGTCTTCTGCCCTCACACAGCTGCAGCAATACTGTTAGACACAACGGTCTTCTGTCCACACACAGCTGCTGCAATACTGTTAGACACAACTATCTTCTGTCCACACACAGCTGCAGCAATACTGTTAGACACAACGGTCTTCTGTCCACACACAGCTGCAGCAATACTGTTAGACACAACGGTCTTCTGCCCACACACAGCTGCAGCAATACTGTTAGACACAACGGTCTTCTGTCCACACACAGCTGCAGCAATACAGTTAGACATAATGGGCTGCTTAAACACCCGAAATGCTATCACAGAAAGTTTGATACTATTGCACATCTATTTTGTGTAGCTACATTGAGGACAGTGAGACAAAATAGTTCCGGGAAGACTAAATAATGCAGGGAGAAGAGAATTAGACTTAGAGATGAAGAATGAGACTATGGGGGAGGGGGGTGGGGGTGAACTGCAAACAGGGAATAAAGACAAACCTGTTGTCATTATCTGATAGGGATCAACGATAAACCTGTTGTCCTAATCTATTAGGATCAAAGACTAACCTGTTGTTCTTATCTGATATAAATGCAATATAAACCTGTTGTCATTATCTGATAGGGATCAAAGACAAACCTGTTGTCCTTATCTGATAGGATCAAAGATAAACCTGTTGTTCTTATCTTATTAGGATCAAATATAAACCTGTTGTCATCATCTGATAGGGATCAAAGACAAACCTGTTGTCATTATCTGATAGGGTTTAAAGATACTCCTGTTGTCATTATCTGATAGGGTTCAAAGATACTCCTGTTGTCATTATCTGACAGCGTTCAAATATATTTTTGTTGTCATCATCTGATAGGGATCAAAGACAAACCTGTTGTCATTATCGGATAGGGATCAAAGATACTCCTGTTGTCATTATCTGATCGGGATCAAAGATATTTCTGTTGTCATCATCTGAAAGGGATCAAAGATAAACCTTTTGTAATTATCTGATAGGGATCAAAGATACTCCTGTTGTCATTATCTGATAGGGATCAAAGATAAGCCTGGTGTCATTATCTGATAGAGATCAAAGACAAACCTGTTGTCATTATATGATAGGGATCACAGACACATCTGTTGTCATTATCTGATAGGGATCAAAGACAAACCTGTTGTCAATATCTGATAGGGATCAGAGACAAACCTGTTGTCATTATCTGATAGGGATCAAAGACAAACCTGTTGTCATTATCTGATAGGGATCAAAGACAAACCTGTTGTCAGTATATGATAGGGATCAAAGACAAACCTGTTGTCATTATCTGATAGGGATCAAAGACAAACCTGTTGTCATTATCTGATAGGGATCAAAGACAAACCTGTTGTCATTATCTGATAGGGATCAAAGACAAACCTGTTGTCAATATCTGATAGGGATCAAAGACAAAACTGTTGTCATTATCTGATAGGGATCAAAGACAAACCTGTTGTCATTATCTGATAGGGATCAAAGACAAACCTGTTGTCATTATCTGATAGGCATCAAAGATAAACCTGTTGTCATTATCTGATAGAATCAAAGACAAATATGTTGTCATTATCTGATAGGGTTCAAAGAAATTTATGCTGTCATTTTCTGCTATGGATCAAAGATAAACCTGTTGTCATTATCTGATAGGGATCAAAGACAAACCTGTTGTCATCATCTGATAGGGATCAAAGATAATCTTGTTGTCATTATCTGATGGGGATCAAAGATACTCCTGTTGTCATTATCTGGTAAGGATCAAAGATAATCCTGTTGTCATTATTTGATAGAAATCAAAGATAAACATGTCATTTTCTGATAAAAACTGCTCATTAATCCACGATACAATATAAATATAAATAATAATAATAATAAAAATAATATTGCACACACAAACAATGTCTCATTTCCTGTATTGTTTACTAGTGACTGTTATATCACAACAGGTAACACTACAAATATATCGACAGGGCCCTGTCTATCCAAGAGAAGATAAGGTTTGATGGGAAGATTGATGATGTTGGCTTACTGTTTTTTCGTTTATCTACTTCTGACATCACTGGTGCAGCAGACCGTTGATGGAGTTTCAGGTGTGGTAAAAAACCATTACTTGATTTCCTTGTTTCATGGACTGATTACTTGCAAGTCAGGTTGATTGATCCCTTCTTAGTTTAACACCATATTATTTCTTTTAAACAGACGGTTTTCAGCTCCCATTCATTCACATTGGCGTTTTAATGATCTATCATCATTTTATATCCTGCTAGTGTTGCTGATTGCACAAGACTTTCAAAAGTGATATCCTTTGCTGATGGTCTGCTATTTTTCTGTTCATGTCGTTTGACGTTTCTTCGTGTCACTTTCCGTTCACGTGCCATTAGGATGTCCTCGTCTCCTCCTACCACCTACCGTTCATCAGAGAGCAACAAATCCTCGAGACATTCTGCAAATATACCCATGCCGTCTACATCTTCTTCCTTTTATAACATTTGCCAGTGATAAACATGTTGTTTTCCGATCCAGTTCTTTGTGTTTTATCTTGCATGCAGGTTTCTGTCTTCAGATCACTAGAACTGAATATTACTGAACCAAAGTGACCATGAGAGCTATGCCGGCAGTAACATAGCTACCAGCAGGGCCTCTCAAACTAGACCAATCAAATAGCAGAGAACAAATTAATAAAAATAAGAAGAACTCCACAAGGAAGTATGCACAGCAGAGGTCCACCAATCATCAGTAGAGAGATCTATCGTCAAAAATTGTTTTGGCCCATTACTTTCCTAGACAATCTCAGAAGGTGAGCCGACCTGGGTCATGAAGTCAGGCCCCGATCTTCCCCTGCTGCACTTCATCGGACTTGATAGGGACAAGGCGATATGATGACTTTGCAACAGGTGCTGGGAGAATTTATATTTCTCTTATAATACTGGATAGATTATCTTGCTGGGTCTCTTCAAGGGGCATGGGGCTTTGCCAAATGATCAGGGCGTGTGGAGCCTTTTGATTTACTCAAGGGGCCTGGGGCCTTGCCACATATTCAGGGGGTGTGGAGCCTTTTAATATACTCAAGTGGCCTGGGGGCTTGCCATATAATCAGTGGGTGTGGAGCCTTGTAATGTACTCAAGTGGCCTGGGGGCTTGCCATATAATCAGGGGGTGTAGAGCCTTGTAATATACTCAAGTGGCCTGGGCCTTGCCATATAATCAGGGGGTTTAGAGCCTTGTAATATACTCAACGGACATGAAAGTCGTTTTGCGCACAAGGGGCGTTGGGGCTTTTTTTACATTCTAAAGAGGCATGTGTCCGTATCATATACTCAAGAGGCCGTGGAGCCTTGCCCATACTTGGTTGTATTTCCATATGCTCAAGGACGGAAACAAAGGGGAGAGGGAGTGCTTTATGAAAGACGTTGAAAGCCATTACTTTATATGAAAAACGAAAAGTAGGAGAGGAAATATTAGGCAACAAGTTATCAGTATTCACAGAGAATGAGAACTAAGGTAATCATCCTAACTTGTAGACATCAGACAATACACAATTATTTATACATCTGGTAATTAATGATGTCTCTGGATATTCAAGTAGGATGGTAGGACAACTTCTTGGAATAATTGGAGTCACACGGACAAAGAGAGACTTCAGTAATACCCAGCAATAACTTGCGTTTAATCGGATTTAGAGAGAAAAAATAAGTTTAAGGCATTAATTGAATCAGCTAAAATGAATAGTTAAGCAGTTTCATCACAAACATTTTTTTGAAACCACAAAAATGTTTCAGGGTGTTCCGTGGGCCGGTTTGGAACTGGCTGCTTACTGCAGTGTAACTGTGAGCGATCTCAGGCCTGTGGTGTGGGTGGACAGTGCCCTAACAATGGAGCTTGCAAGAGTCCATACTTTGGCCCTGGTTGCCAATACGGTGAGTTATTGTTTCATTAAAACAACATCAACACCAGTTGTACAAGTGTGTCATGAGATATGAGGTAATAACCTATATCAAAGCAATTTGGACATTCCCATAAGCAACCTGTCCTTATGTTAAGCAGTCAGGGCAGACTGCCAATTCCAGTGGTACCAGTAACAATCTGATTATTCGAAGATGAAAAGCATTTTTTGTATCTTTCCTCCAGATCATACCGATGTGTTGGAAAATGAACAGACGGACAGACTTGCTGGTTCTGCACAACTTGGTGGAAAACTGATACACGATAAGGCAGAAATGACTAAGGTCTTATGGGAGTACACGCACGAGTGCAGCAAACTGAGACAGCAACTTGATCATCAGTCTGGTGAGAGTGACATAATCAGACTTCTACTGGCACCATTGTTCTTGAAACTCTGAGTCGGCTGCTAAAGATGGGGACGGAGCGCTTATTTATATGCATTGAGTGCTGTGATTCTGGTTCTTGAATCAAGTCGAATCAAATCTTGTTGTATGCCGTCTCGCCCTTCACCTGAATGTTGAGCGTCGGCCAGTCTATCTGACTGTTCATTTCCCAACACATTGTCATTACCTGGGGAGAATATCCAAAGGACACTATCTACCAGGGACATCTGAAGCGATGCTTGCCACTCTTCACGTCACATTAACCGTCTCCGCCTGTCTCAAAATGGTGTGTGTCCATTACAATAGAATGTGTGCAGCTAGTGTTTATGTTAACAGAAGGCTTCCGCGAATGATTTCACTTCTATTCTTAAACTAGAGGGTGTAATAACAAATGCCGGTCTTTAGTGAATTCGACTACGGCCGTTCGCCTTTGCTCTCAAGTCCTGGGCACTTCTCTCACTTTTTGACACAGAGCCATCTGTACAAACAACCACTTCACCTTGTTGGAAATTTTAGCGAATAATTTGTTGAATTTCTCTTCTGCAGCATTTGAAAGCTTGTCCGTTTGCCCGCGGTCTAATGCGATTAGAAGCCAGTACAAATCTGATTTTAGCTTAAAAGCTTTGACACATTTTATGGTCTTGTCACATACTTAAAGCCTGCGCCACATAAAACATATTGGAAACCAATGCTCTGAAACAGATGGCGTTAGCAGATCCTTCTGTTGTGTGTACTCTGATCATTTCTGATATGCACATTCTAGCGTACCATGATGCCAAACTTTCCAGCGTCTTTGAAAGTTGCATGCCTCTGTCTCTGGTTCCCTAAAACTACCTGGCTGTCATATCTAAAGCCACTCTTTCCCTAGTAACGATCACTGGTGCCCTAGTAACGATGACTGTTTCCCTAGTAACGATGATTGTTTCCCTAGTAACGATCACTGGTACCGTAGTAACGATGACTGTTTCCCTAGTAACGATGATTGTTTCCCTAGTAACGATGTGGCTTATGAAAGGAAATTTCCTTCTTACGATACAGGGAATCAGTTTCCCCTTTTCTCTCCAAATGCAGTTTTCATTTACTGTTGCACCACGTAGTGGGACGTCTGAAGTTGATTCAATACCAACGTTTTGTTTCGAACTATATATAAACAACTATCTATATCTTTCCCTATCACTCTTCTCTTCCTCTTATCCCTCTCTCTCTCTCTCTCTCTTTCTCTCTCTCTCTCTCTCTCTCTCACTCACTCACACACATACACATACGCATGCACATATGCGTTGACCACTATAGATGTGTATCATATGTGTTCCAGGCCCACTTGTATTCACAATATAGACAGCAGTAAACACATCACAGTGATACTTGTGTGCTCGTTTCAGTTGATTTACTCATCACCCATGAATCACCAATAACCCCGTTATATCTACGAGACAGAAATCATGCAACGTGTAACCCAGACCCCAGAGCTAGATCTGTCCGCCTGATGTTTGTCTCTCCCCAGCCACTGACGTGGTTCAGAATCCACGCCAACAATCCCAGTAAGCTGCTTGTAAATACTTCCATTGTTGCTGGATTTATTTTAACGTAAAATATTAATTTCTATATTATCGTTTCAATGTGGCTAGAAAAGTTCAAAAACCGTTTATTTACTCCTCTCTCTCTCTCTCTCTCTCTCTCTCTCTCTCTCTCTCTCTCTCTCTCTCTCTCTCTCTCCGTCTCTCTGTCTCTATGAACCTATGAAAACAACGTCTAGATAAAACCAGAATGTTAATACACTACCAAAACCTCCTCAACTAAATAATAGAATGTAAGTTTTACCCCACCAGGACAATTACAAAGCGATAAACACCTAATGAAAAAACGTGCCACCATGCGGATGAGGATCACTCGTAAAGAGGCACGGAAACCCCATTCAACCTTAAGGTTATATCAGGGCCACAAGCAACAGACGAAATAACGAACAAATTGCATCCCACAAAGGGATTATTTTCCTGGAAAAAGCCAGAATAGAAACCATTCCACTATATCGTCCTCTAGATACCAAACAATTATGGTAAACAATCCATTTATGACCACACATTGTATTCACTGCATGAGACCATCATGTGTATAGCATCACAAGATATATAGTAAACAGTCAATTATTGTGTAATGTAAGTGATACAATTATTGGCAAATACTCTGACACATCAACGTCAAAATTACACAAGAATAGTGAATACTTCATTACATCGGCCTCTAGATAACAGACGGTTATGGTAATCTATCCATTATAACATCATCTAATTGACAGAAGATTAGAATAACATCACATACAACAAATGGGCTGCCTGAAGTTACCAGGGCAAAGGCGAGACATATACAATCAGACAGGAAGTGGTACCAACGGAATTTGAACTCTTTGCTTGTTGCTGAAGATGGGGACGGAGCGCTGATAGATGTGTTCAGAGTGTTTTGATGTCGATTCCTAATTCAACATTCAACATTTCCCTCCATCAATGTCTTGATAGCAACATAATAAATGGGCTAAACAATGCATAATAATATAATATGAATGGTAAATAATGGACAACAATCTATTGACAATTTGTCTAGATATCAAAGAAATGGTAAACAATTCACTATAGCAGCGTACACACGTTAAACAAACTCATATTTAGCAAACTGTAATGTAACAAAGAATATACAGTGAAAGTAATCATTAACAACAGCAACAAAAGTGTGCATAGAATGCAGATCAAGAAGCTAAGCCAATAAATAGTAATCCGATGGATCTTCTGGCGAAAAAATGTGGCACTTTTTGAAGAAATGTCAATTCTTGAAGTTAGATACTGTATGATGGAACTGTTCACGTACAAAAGAATGTCTATTCTGCATCTTCAATAAACAAATTTTTTTAAAACGAAAGCAAATCGGTTATGGGACAAGGAACACTGATTCTGTCGATACCTCTATCAACCAAAGCAAACTTCATAAGAACGGTTTTTTTACGGACATTGTGCTACCAGTGCCAAACATGGACATCTGCTATAACTGATGAGCGGAAGATCGTAACAACAGAGATGAGATGTCTTAGAAGAGTTGCCGGCGTGACAAAAAGAGATAATATCGGGAATAAAGAAATTATAAGAAGACAAGGACAGAAACCAGTCATTCAGTTCATTATAGAACAACAAACGAGATGGTTTGGCCACCTGACGAGAATGCCCCTGATACCAACTGCCACAGAGAACTAAGCCAAAGAAAAAAAATGAGCATATAACAAGAGGAAGACCACGCAAGTAATGGAGTGACATCATCAAGAGCACCTTAACAGAAACACCACCAGAAAAAGCGCACATACGATCCTTCTATAATCCCCTCCCTCTCCCCCCATCCCCAAATACACTTCACTGAGGTAAGTGGTGGAAGAAAAAGCAAATTAAAAAAAAAAAAAAAAGTTAAAAAACAGACCCTCTTGCCCCTCCCCCCTCCCCTTTTCTCCAGTATGAGTCACTTACAGTTGCAATATGCGATATTATATAACGATTGAGTCTTTGAGATTTTGCTGATGCTGCCTTCAAACTATGCTAAATGTTGTTAGCATGACTTGATTGGGGCGGGAAAAAAGTGGGGGGAGGGGGGGGGGGGGTGGGATTTCAGCTTTATTGGGCTAAAAAAAAAAGTCAGTGCAGGAAGCTCAGTTTTCTTTGGGGAGTGGGGGAGCTTTTAAAGGGGGGGGGGGGGCGTTGTGTTTTATTGGCCGTAACAACTGAGGAGAGTGGAAAAAAGAAAAAAAATTGGGTAGGGGGGGGGGGGGATGCAGTCTCGATGTTTAGGTTTCATTAACTGTTGTGCAGTTTAATTAGTACTCGTATTATTTCAACAGTCGCCCTGTTCCACCGGAACTTCACAGTGAAAGTGGACATGAACGTGAACATTGCCGTGGAACTCTTCAAGCTTCCAGGCGTCAATGCCTTAGATGTCAAGATGTTTTCTCCTTCCAATTCTGGAAGAAGCATCACGATTGAAGGTCCTGTAGTGGCCTACATCTGCACAATCTATGTCAGCGGAGGTCAGTCATCAACCAGCTCTCGTAAAGTGGGATCTGGGTATTTCTTTCTAGTGGTATGCGTTACGTTCCACTGATACTAGAAGTGTGATGTGGTCAGCACCACTCAGTTCAACGTTATGTCACTGTAGATGTTCTCTTTTTCTATTTAAATTATCTCGACCTGTACAGTTAGTTAAATAACCCGACCTGTAGAGTTAGTTAAATAAGCTCGACCTGTAGAGTCAGTTACATTAGTCCGACCTGTACAGTTAGTTAAATAATCTGACCTGTACCGTCAGTTAAATAACCTGACGTCTACAGTCAGTTAAATAACCTGACCTGTATAGTTAGTTAAATAACCCGACCAGTTCAGTTAGTTAAATAACCCGACCTGTACCGTCAGTTAAATAACCTGACCTGTACCGTCAGTTAAATAACCTGACCTGTATAGTTAGTTAAATAACCCGACCAGTTCAGTTAGTTGAATAACCCGACCTGTACCGTCAGTTAAATAACCCGACCTGAACAGTCACTTAAATAACCTGACCTGTACCGT